GGTAGATTAGGCATTGAGTATAGAAATAGCAATTTGAGGACTCTCATACTCAATTGCTGGAAACAGAAGGGAAAAAATCTCATGGCTAACTACATGCAAAAAATCATGCCTCCTATCATAATTTGGGAGCTATGGAGGTCTAGGTGCAACTCTAGATTTGATATAGAAAAACCATCATTTTACATATCCAAAGAGATGATTACTTTCGAACATCACTCAGCTTATCAAATCTCATTTAAAGAAGATCAACTTTGGAAACAATTGGGAAGATGTATGTAAAGTGTATGAAGTCCATATGGTGATGAACTGCTTTACTATGGTGAAATGACTCAAACCACAACCTCTCTTTGTGAAACTGAATAGTGATGGATCTTGTTTAGATGAAAACTGTGGAGGAGGAGGAGGTATAGTGAGAGGGAGTGATGGTTGTCTCATAATGGCATATTCATTGCCATTGGGACAGGGCACCAATAACACTGCAGAAGCTAGTGCATTACTCTATGGCTTTAAATGGTGCATCAACCATGGCTTCAACTCGATCATAGGAGAAACTGACTCAGTCATCCTTCAGAACTCAGTGATTGGAGAATGCGATACACCTTGAAGAATCAGTGATACAGTAGAAGAGATAAAGTTGTTGGTAAATACTCATGATATTAGAACTCTGCACTGCTATTGAGAAGCAAATCATGTTGCGGACAAATTGGCATCCCTTAGCCACAATCTGTCAGATTTTTGTACATATAACACTTTTGATAGCCTACCTGGGCAGGTTACAGGCTTGGTAAATACTGATAGATTGCAACTTCCTTCATTTAGAGTCAAGAAGAAAAAAGCAAGCAACCTCACATATGAACCACCTTGAATTTTCAACTTTATAGCCATTATGTAACTATTTTTTGGTGTTAGCTTTTTCGCTTTCTAAACTTGGTTTCTATGTTCAACTCTTGTAGTAAAAGGTCAGGCAAAGCCCCTACTTTTACAAAGATTATTCTGCTAGATGAGAGCTTGGGTTATGAGGAGGAGCAATTTGCTATTGTTGCTAGACAAGATTGCCAGTTGAAATCCAAGAGGATTTCTGCGGTAAAGATTCAGTGGAAGGGCCAACCAGTCAAGAAGGCGACCTGGGAGTCCGAGGAGGACATGCGAAGCAGATATCCACACTTATTCAGCATTTCAGGTACGAATCTAAACCTGTTCGAGGATGAACGTTTGTTTAAGAGGTGGAGAATGTAATGACCGGACCGGTATTTTTACTTTCTAGAACCCCGTTCCCCTAAATAAGACTTCCTGTACTTGCTTTTATTGATTTATGACTTACAGGAATGATTAGTTCGGGATTTGGAAGAATTCGGGTTGAAATCGGAACACTTGGTTCCTTAAGGTTGGCCTAAAAGGCCAAGTTTGACTTTGGTCAACATTTTGAGTAAACGACCTCGGAATTGAGATTTGACGGTTCCAGTAGGTCCATATAATGATTTCGGGCTTTGGCGTATGTTCAGATCAGGTTTTGGATGACCCGAGAACATTTTAGCGCCAATAGCGAAAGTTGGTTTTGAAGGTTTTAGAAGTTCTTTAAAATTTGGTTTGGAGCGGGTTTTGGTAATATCGAGGTCCAAACGGAATTCTAGGACCAAGAATAGTTCCGTTATGTCATTTAACACTTGCATGCAAAATTTGGTGTCCTTCTAAGTAGTATAAGTATATTTCGGTGCATTGGAAGTAAATTGAAGAACTTGAAGTTCTTAAGTTTGATTCAATTGGTTTTAGGGTGTGATTCTTAGTTTTAATGTTGTTTCGGGAGTTCCGAGAGTTTGAGTGAGTCCATTTTATGATTCCAAACTTGTTGATATGTTTGGGTGGGGGCCCGGGGGCCCCGAATGCCTATTAGATGAGGCTCAGACCAAGTTGAGAATTTGGAACTACAGCTGAGTGCACCAGATCTGTCATAACCGCACTTGCGGTTGGTCAGCCGCAGGTGCGAGCTCGCAGGTGCGGGCTAAGTCTCGCAGATGCGGCCAAGGGAGGCAGCCCAGGATCCGCAGGTGCGGCCCCTCCCCCACAGAAGCGGTACTACGACCGTAGAAGCGGCCTAGGAACTTCCACAGAAGCGGACTCTGTCTGTAGAAGCGATGGCGTAGGTGCGGTCCTTTGACCGCGGGTGCGGAAAAGCTGGAGGCAGTGGCCTTCATTTAATGTGGGACTTAGGTATTTTTGACTCATTTTCATTCCATTGTTGGGCGATTTTTGGAGCTTCTTGAGAGGGATTTTCACCTAGCTTTTGGAGGTAAGTAATTTCTACCATGGGTTTAGAGGAAAACCTAGGGTTTTGATAAAAATGGAATTACCAGGGAAATAGTTATGCAACTTAGTGAAAATCATATACTTATGTTCCTAAGGTTATGGGTAACAACTTCCTCCAAAAAATTTCGGAATCTGGGCACGTGGGCCCGAGGATGAATTTTGGGAATCTTGAATTTAGAGTTGAGAAATTACTTTAATAGTTGGGATATGAACTTTTAAGCCTATATTGATTAGTTTTCACACTATTTGGATAGTTTTGGATTCTTCTGCACCAAATTAAGGGTTTGGGTATAAGCTTGGACCGGAAAGTAGGCTTTGAGGTGAGGTACGTCTCTTTTCTAACCTTGTAAGAGGGAAATCTCCTCATAGGTGAACTTAATTAATATGTCGTTATTTGTGGGGGCTACGTACGCACGAAGTGACGAGAGTCCGTACGTAGCTACTATTCCTATTATGTCCGGGTAGTTTTAGGCTTACACCATACTTTGTGAATACCGTTATCTGATTATATTTGTTGATTTGCTTTGAATGGAACTAAGTTGAGGATTTCAAGATTTCAAGGGTTTCAAGTAAATTGTTATTTTGAAAAGAATTAAGAAAAATTACGTTATATTTATATTTAACAGCGTCGCAAGTATATTCCGCGATCGGGGTGACTATTTCCACTACTCTCATGGGAGCGGGCCGTTCGCCTCGGTAGTTTAATAGATGCATCTATGGTTCGCTCCGTTCGACCCTCGGTAGTGCATAATTTACATTTATGTTGGATCGGGCCGAACATCCTCGGTGGAATTTAATGTGATAGTAGAACTGGAAGTTCCTTTTATAATTTTTATAAATTCATCTTTTAGAGATCATTTGTTTTAAATGAAAGAAGTGTTTTGGGTTCTTTAATATGTTGAAAGATTTGTTCGGCTATTTCCTGTTCTGAGTTCCATTGATACCTCTACATATTTTGTTTATTTAGAATTTTATATTATTATATTGTTGGCCCTAGTAAGTGTTGGAGTCGACCCCTCGTCACTACTTCTTCGAGGTTAGACTAGATACTTACTGGGTACATATTTTTATGTACTCACGCTACACTCTCTGTACTTGATTGTACAGGATTTGAGGCAAATGCATCTTGCCACCAGTCCGGCGCGTAGATTCGATCGCCAGCTCGAGACTTTCCCGGTGAGCTGCCCTTTTGAGTCGTTCTGCAGCAGGTGCAGTCTCTCTTATGTTTCATTTTCTGTCTATTCCTTTTCAGACAGTAGCTAACATTCTTTTGTATATTCTAATAGACTGCCCATATACTAGTGATACCAGGTCTTGGCACACACACTAGTAGGCTTATGACTTTGGTTTTGCTTACATGACTTTGACTTGTGTTCGTTGCTTCCACTTATTTATATTAAAATTGCAAACTTCTAGATCTTTTTAACAAACAAGGAAAAGTCACTACTTACTAATTTATTTAAAAATAAAAAATTACTAGATTGATCAGTGTTGGTTTGCCTAACAATGATGTTGGGCGTCATCACAGCCTATAATAGAATTGGATCGTGACACTAACAATGTTATCCACTTTGTAATTTTTTAAATTTTATTTTATGGGGATGACAACATGATGAAAACAAGTATAAAAAAAAAATAGTTGTTATATGCTAATACGTATACAGAGCACGTAACATAGCAAGTTGATTCAATATACCATTGCCTTCTTAGCCTTCAAATTTGTATTTCAAATCACAATATACCAGCAAGTCATGTATCACTAGTTGCTTAGCATTAGCACGTGATGGACACATATAATAATCATAATTCTTCAAGTTCATGAAAGAAATCAAATAAAATTATAAATTAATAAGGCTTATCTTTGAGAAACGACATCAGAAGGATTTCATCTCTTCATAGAGTTGGAAAATTAACAAAACCAAAGCACTATTCACCACCTTAAGGATATAATTTGCCTTATGATGCTCGGAATGAACAAGATCTAACCACGGACGTAAGAGCATCGCCTTACACCGGAGATGAACACTAAAACAGAAATTAAATTTGAAGTAAGTGCTCAAAGAGTCTCGTGTTGATAACATGTTATAAAATAAAGACTATAAAGTAAAGATGAGTATAGAGAGAAACTGATGTATTATTCAATGTTTCAAACTGATGTTCATAATGAACTGAAATCTCCTCTATTTATAGAAGAATAGAAGCTGCTGTGTAAGGTGCTACTGCAAGCTGCTGTGTAAGCTGCTACTGCAAGCTGCTGTGTAAGCTGCTGTGTAAACTGCTTGTTAGTTGCTTGTAAGCTGCTACTGTACCAGATATATATAATCTTCTACCGGGGTAATATTTATCCATAACGGAATACTGAAATAATAAGCTTATTGAGGAGGCTTATTTCCAATAGAGTACCAAATAGATAAACATATTTATGGCGAAGTCCCATATGAAAGCTTATTTACAACGGAATAATAAATGAACATCCATAATATAATATATATTTATAACAATCTCTCTTTCTTTTTTCGTTTTTTTTGTTTTGTTTGTGTGGAGGCACTTCAAACTGAAAAAATAAGGTGAATAACAAGAAACTTTTGAGAGCAAAGTTGTATTAAGAAAACTATAGAGGCAACTTTGCAATTCACATCATTTCATCAGAATATGGCGATTTTCATAAATTTTTAGTTCTTTTTGTATCGTCCGACACCACCCTGTAAAACCAATCAATTTCCAACAAAACCCCAATAATTTCAGAAAAATCTCTCCGTAGTCTGAAAATGGCGGAAGATAAGAAAGAGTCAACGTCAAGTTCGCCTCTCCAAGAAGATCCCGAAGATCCCGTCAAATCCGCTCCTTCTTCCCCCAATTCCTCCACTCGCAAGGTTTGNAAAGAATTTTCACACTATAATTTCACCAGTTATAGCATGTTGTTTATTCTATTTTTTACCAGATCAAACTAACATTAGCATTTCATTTGGTTATGTTTCTGAACTTTGAGTGGCTGTGTGTCCAGTGTGTTAGACAGAAGTTCTCTAACTTAGAGGCAGTGGCAAAAGAAGCAATTGTTATACGATTTTAAGCTGAAAGTTGAAATAGTGAGAATTAATTTATGCATTTTAAAAGCTAAGCTATAGATACATAAATGGTGAAAATTTGGATCTGATTTGGTTATTTGATTATTGGGCTATTTTGCTGGGCATGTAACAGTTGAATGACTTTCTAAATTTGGGGGAATATCAAAAGTCCAGTCCTGGTGGACGAGGTACACTTAAATACACTGAGGAAAGTTTAAAATCTTATGGAATGAAACAAATCTAGCTAAGGACAGAGTATAATGGAAGCAAAGCAAATGATCAATATAAGCAATACCAACTAGTTGGAATTTAACTTTTTATCCGTGTAGAGATTAGTGTGAAACTAGAGAACTCTTAATTTTCCATAGAAAGGTACATTATTTCGTATTGGAATGAAATGGATCCGACTAGAAAAAGATGGATATTGAGGGTTCGTATAGCTAACTCGGGTTGATTTGGGATTGTGGCATAGTTGATTGTTATTGGAAGTTCATCCTCATAAAATTACTAAACAAATGAGTCCAGGGAGCTAGTAAATCAAAGTACAACAGCAGGATATTGCTTGGAAAAATCAAAGATAACAAATTTTTGACTCTAAAAAATTTGGTACTCAAGTCAAATGTTAGTGCTGCCATATTGATTTCCTTAGCTCACTAGCACAACTTGTAATGGCCTCACTTTTTTGGCTGTAATTTTCCCCAGCATTATATTTTTGCTGGTCATCAAGAAAAGTTACTCTTATTAAAAAAAAAAAAAAAGTTGGTGCTCTAATCAACTAATTTCTTATCAAAGAAAAGAAAACTAGTTAGATAGAGCTAACTCAACAAATTCTCTAGCATTATATCCTGCAATGATGTCATAGATCTCCCAAGTTCTTTTTTTTTTTTAACAAGAGAGAGTTGAACTAATTCGTTTGACGACTACATTGCACACAATTACTGAGAGATTTTAAAAAAAAAATAAAAAATCTGGCAAGTGATTAATGAAAGAATGTAAAGCAAGGAAATTGGTTTGGCATCACAATGAAGTGTTGAAGAATTGTGATGTAGAATTCTAGAAGTAACAGTTCTTGCTTGAACTCCAATGTACCTTCAAATATTAATTCACTAACATCCAAGGTTTTGTAAACAAATACCATGCTTGTTCCTTTCTATTTTCTTTCACTGTACAAAAACTCAATTTCCTAATCTTCATATTGACTGGACTAATTCTGGCATTTATTTGATCAGGCTTGCTATGCTGTTCTTCAAAGTTGGGTGTCAAAGAAGTTCATGACTGGATGGTAAGGAGCTTATCAAAATCCCAACACTTTGCTTTTGCCTTATCAACTACTCATGAAAGCAAAATGTACTTTTGCTGGCTTGTGGGACACTCCTGCTTTCTCAGTGGCCTGTCCCTTGGAGACAGGCCGAGAAGTACCACACATCGTCCCCCGCCCTTTCTTTCTATCAGTATCTCTACTACTTTGGTGCCTACTTTCTTTATCTGTATACTAATATTTGGTGGATATTGCCATTTCTCAGCGTGGTCCTCTTCCCTGTGGCTGTTACATTTTTCATCACTTGGTGGTTTATTCAATTTGTTGATGGTTTCTTCAGCCCCATATATGAAAGACTTGGTATTGATATATTTGGTACGTCACTTTTGGCATTACAGGATTTTATTTCCCGTTGTTCACTTGCTGTAGTTATATTGATGCGTTGGTAGTGATATATCTGGTAAATTATTAACAACATCCAAGCTGTGTCTTCAGTAAAAGCCTGTGTGGCTGGTAAATTGATAAGTGCTTCTCTTGTACTTACAGGCCTTGGATTTGTGACATCGATAACCTTCATATTCTTTGTCGGTATTTTTGCTTCATCATGGCTGGGTTCAACAGTTTTTTGGATAGGGGAATGGTTTATAAAGAGAATGCCCTTTGTTAAGCATATATACTCTGCATCCAAGCAAATTAGTTCTGCTATTTCACCAGGTAATAATTACTTTTTGATTGCGAATTTTTAATTTCCTAATGATGAGATATTTAATGAGATATAGATATGTCGACCGGAGATATAGCTTTGATAAAATGTCTTTGAAATCCCCTTTCAATCACCATGACATAATGCTTCCCTTGGACAAAATGCTTATAGAAAGAATGGTACTGTTTCCTGTTTCATTGACTCTTTTGCATATTGGCTGAAGATTGGGGAAATGATTCTCTGCAAATAGTATATCTAAACATTACCCTCCTCAGGCCCCACTTGTGGGATTCCACTTGGTTGTTGTTGTTGTTGTTATTGTGTTGTTACTTTTTAGGGCCAAGACATAGATAAAAGTGTATATGGAATAGTATCTTGTTTCAATCAACCGGTCCAAGTGATCTACTTCAACTAGTAATGGTAGAAGCATATTATATCCGAAGCACATGCCTGTTCATTGTTTCATTTTATGTTGATGTTTGTGATAACAAGGAAATCACATTAGGACACACTATTGTTTAATGCATTACAAAAAAACAACAGAATCAATTCACTAAGCCTGTTCTTGGGGACATATTGCTCATCGATTTTATTTGAACTTTTGACGTGTTGAGGTTTTATTTCCCAACAATTTATGCAGCTTGATTTGATGGGTGTCAAAGTTCTTAACATACCCATGTTTGGTTATACATGTGATAAGTGTAGATGAAATTCTTCTGAATCACTGTAGTTCTTATCTGTCTGTATCTTGCTGCGTTTATAAGACTTATTTGATTTCTTTGGCTTGTTGTTAATACAGACCAGAATACTAATGCTTTCAAGGAAGTTGCTATAATTCGCCATCCCCGAATTGGTGAATATGCGATTGGTTTCATAACATCGTCAGTTGTTCTCCAGGTAGTTCCATCATAATATCCTGTACTGACCAAAATAACTTCCTTCATACTATCCTTAATGTATCCCTTTTTTTTTCCACTTAAGTAGACCCAACCTATTGTTTTTGTACAACTTTAGTCCTCTGATGCACAAAAACTTCCCTTTTTGGCTTCTACATCCATTTCTGACACTTTTTGAACCTCAGATTTTGCCTAAAACCAGTTGTAGCTTGGAATGTAGTAGAATTACCTTATCAAAAAATACTTGTAGTAGAAGTACATACCTGATATGCTTTATAAAGAGTTAATGTAAGTAATATCATATATTTTTTATATAGAGATGGCAATATCGAGGGAAATTGTGGGTCCTGCACGTTCTATGTTTTGGTCTGGGGAAGGGAAAATGGCTGAGTGGTTTATGGGGTGGTTAATACAATATTGTAAGGTGGTCTGGGGTTCAGGGAAAACTTTGCTATTGCATGTATAGCTTCTTCTCTTGTCTCTCTTTTCTTATTGTTTCATTTCTTGTTTCATTTTTCTCTTTGTTCTATTCTTTTGAGTTTTACATACACTCGTATTTTAGCTTTATATGTATACTCTTCCATGTTTTTCTAATAAAAGAATTTATTCTTCTCTTTAAATGCTGTTAGTGTCATCTGAATTTGACTGTTCAACATTGTCAATTTAAATGTTTACACTACAAAAAAGGGAACAAGATGTATACCTTATAACAAAATTACATTTCGACTTGAAGTTATCCATGCAACATTATGTCTGTTACGGCTCATTGTGTTGAATTGGGATGAAAAGATGAAGGGGAGGAGCTGGGTATCGATCTTTCCGTCATATGTTTATGAATTCAAAGACAGAAAAGAAGGCGAGGGGCTGCTTATATATCTTTTTCAACCCCTTCAAGTTTGACAAAGAAAGAGAAAGTATATGTCATTTAATTCATTTACGGACGTGCCAAACAACATTAGTAGTATGATAAACACTGTCGAGGGGAAGTATTTTAATTAGGTTCATTCCCCGTTGTATCCCTTATACCAACATAGTGGAGCTCATTACATCTAATAGTTACAAGGATGAAGCTCTTATCCCATTGATTTGATTTCAATTGCCATGGGGTGACCAAAAGTTTGGACCTTAAGCTAGAGATTCATATGAATGCCATTGTCCAAGTGATTTCAAGTGCATTTCTTTACCCTGTAAGATACATGTCGTAGATGCATATATATATATATATATATATATATATATATATATATCATATATGTTGAATTTAGACAATTTTGACTATAATTTCTACTCTTCCACTCCCTTCCCCAGCATTCCATATCTCTTGGGGAGAAAGAAAGCAAAGCAGACTAAATTTGGACTGATCTTGGAGATACTCTACCTTAGTCCCATTTCTGTAATCCTTAATATTTACTTCTTGCTAGTGTCCCTGCTATTCTTGTTAGTCTGATCACTAAAGGATGTTCTTAGCTATTGATTTGTTGCAGAGAGATGATGGGGATGAAGAGTTGTGCAGCATTTTTGTCCCTACAAATCATTTGTATATAGGGGATGTATTTCTGGTTAATTCCAATGATATCATCAGGCCAAATTTGTCTGTGCGAGAAGGCATAGGTGTGTGTCTCATCCTACTTCTCTGCCATGCTATTCATTAATTAATTCATCTTTCACTTTTTTTAAGTGATTGTTATCATGAATATTTACATTTTTCAGTTCAGATATGCCGCTTTACTTGGCTTCATTAGCATCATTTCTATCTTTGTTGTCAATGGAGATGTTTGGTCATTTTGAGCAGCGTCTTATCACCCTTTTCTCTATTTTTGTATTTTACCAATCAAATTGACCAATTGTGTCCAGTCAAGCCTCGTCTCTATTTTTTTCCTTCGGTAGCCTTGTCGGACGTAGGAAACATTGTGTCTCAATGACTAGTATTGCTTTCCATTTCAATTTACTTGCTGAAATGTGTTGGTTGCTATATTGTGAGGTAAAATTATCTGTGTGGAGTATAAAGAGGGTTTTTTAATTGAGATTCAGAAGGATACCAGTCAATGATGCCTTGTCTTGCAGATAACATTCTGCCCTGCTAAGTGTTCCACGTAGGTTGATAGAATGAGGTTGTCTCCTTGTATGGCCTTGGACAATCTTCACCTCATGAACTAGCTTTTGGAGGTTGCTTGAGCCTAAGTTTCATTTTCTTTTTACAGGCCGTATAGCAAGAGTTACCTTGGTTGAAGTTCTTCTCGCTGTGTTTAGATTCTCCAGACAAATCCATTCACCACACGAATGATGTGACAACAGTAGAACAGAAATAACTATCCATATAAGAATGCAAGCTTGTTTAACATTTTGTTGGTGTGTACATTCTAATCCAGCAAAATCCTTGTTGGCAAAAAAATATCAATTAATCTTCACTTACAGCATCATACACCTATGCTCATGTATTTACTACGGTTTTGTTTTTTCCTTGAGTCAAGGTGAAGTTCTTTTTCTTTCTTTATTGCACTTGACAGAATCCTGCATTGTAATATGCTCTTTTTCCTTGGTTTGCAGAGATCATTGTTTCTGTGGGAATGTCAATGCCGCAGGTGATTTCTCCTATAGAAAGGATCACACGACAGAGCGACCGGATCCCTCTAAACAGAATGTTAAAGTAAACAAAATCAGCATCTCATTTGCTTATGGTTTGCGCTAAGCTACCATAATCTCAATTTTTTAGGGAAGTCGCATATGTATACTGTTGGTCTTCTATGTTCTTTTGATGGTCCAGCAGATCTGAACTGAAGCAATTAGCGACATTGGTGACTTTGTTGTGTGTTTATTCTTTAGGATTAGTAGGAGGAGATCTGTTTGTCGGAAACAAATAGGTAGGGAGGCATTGTTTGGCTGTAGCTGGTTTACATTAATTAACATTTCACCTTGGTCTGTACAGTCTGTAACTTATGAGTTCTTGTGTTTGTATTATAAAGAGGCAATCGGTGTTTATTTTTCAGTGTGGGGTTTCTTATGTTAGCTAAAGGGGAGAACACCCCCCCCCCCCCCCCCCTTTTTTTTAAATTTTTTATTTATAATTATAATTGATGTTTCACCTAAAGAAAGACAACAACAACCCAGTGGAATTAAGTGGGGTCTGGGGAGATTAGCGTGTACCCAGACCTTACCTAAAGAAAGAATTTTTTGTATTTCTCTTAATCAAGAATCTTCATATTCTGGCACAAGGACGAGACATAGCAAAAGGTCCTTTTAAATCTGTCACAGGAAGGAGGAAAAATTGCCTTAAGTATATCGTGAATTCTCTTTTTTAAATAGTTAGATATTTAAATGAAGAGTACATATGAACTGTGGATGTTCCTCAGAAATGTTGTTTGTCTCGTTATCATGTGACTACATTGAGATTAACAAATTCATTTGATGCCTCCAATAAATTAATTTAATTAGCAAGCGTGTGGCTGTTAACCACAAGGTCGAAGGTTCAACCCCTTCCTCTAGCGCTAATTTTCCATCTTTTTTCCCCTAACTTTATCCGTGCCATCTTTCCTCACCTCGCTCACGTTCTTGCTAATGTCAAGTCAGCCTTACTATACTCAAGATAAAAAATTTGCTTGGTTGATAATTACAAATAAATGCCCCCTATTTATACTAATCACCTAGGGGCTAGTACGTAAATAATAATTGTTCTACAAGTCATTCCATATTTACAACTAAATCCTTTCTCTAGAATATTCTACACATCTAGATTCTTATAAGGACTTTCCTAACAATTCTATAGGGTTCTAGGGTCTTCCTAAGGAAACCTCTATATTTCTCTAGAACCTTCCTACAAATGCATAAATATCTGGAGCTTTTCTAAAGAAATTCTACATAGTTCTAGGATATTCCACCAAGATCTTGTCCCTAACTTATGTAACCCTTCCATATGACAAAAATATATGCCAAGTGGCACTTACGTGGCATGATGATGTGGCGGGTCATGACATAATGCACTGATAAATCAAATGGCTGAATTTTGACACTGTTGAAATACAATTTGAAATTCTTTTTTTCTTTTGATGCTGACGTACTTAAATATTTTCTTTATTTTGTGCGAAAAGAAAAGAATTTGTTTTATGCTACTCGTAAAAACCGCATTTGTTTTGCAAAGTCAAGGCCCAAAAAATAAAGGGATGTCAAAGGTATATATAGTCATTGGGATAAGTTGATACGAGAACTAATAAATTACCTCTGATGTTTTGCTTAACCCACGAGACATATATTCCTTAACTTGCAAATTTACATAAAACCTTTGTTAAATTTAAAGTTTCTTTTGAAATTTGATGCAAAGGAAGAATAGAAAATGGCTTTCAAAGTTCTCTCTAATTTTCTTGAACTCTTAATTTGGAAAGTTAATATCGAGATCAAAAGAAAAATTGTTTGAAGAGAATGGATATGGATGGAGGGATTAGAGAAGGGCTATCGTTTTATTGCAACGACAGCAAAGCTAGACTTTGCTATAGTTTGGTGTTTATGAGAAAGAGAGTAATTAAAGAGAAATTTTCACAAATCACTATTGTTTAGTGGTTATTAGCTAGTTGTAGCTACCATTTACTATATTACTTTCTATAGCTATGTTTTCAGGCTTTTTAGAGTGTATTTGATGTATTTAAACTACAATATTCATGAATACAGTAGCATTTCTAGGCGTGAAACAGAGGATTACAGCTAGACAGATTATTGTATTCGACTGTATTTACGGCGAGAAACATGGGATTACAACTGTTTTTAAACGGAAAATGAATCAATTAACATAATAGACTCCTAATATAACTCAACAAACTCAATTATAACACACAAATTTTGTATTTCTAGTTATAAAAAAGATTCTCAACTGAAAAACACCCCAAAAATATAGCAATCTTCAAAAAGATTATTTAATTACATTGAATATAGTTAAATACATTAAAAAAAAAAAGGCGTTTTCGTCCTTTGTTGGCAACGGTGCAGCTTCTTGAAGATGATATATTATCTTTGAATTTGATGAAACAGGGAAAACCCTCAAAAGATGTTTGATGTCCTCAAAATCGCCAAATTCAACACAAGGAACTACCATCGACGGAGGAATGGGAATCCATGAGTTTGTATTCATGAAGAAAACTGGCGTTGAGAGAGAGAGTGGAGAAAAATCTGAAAGAATGAGAGAGAAAAATAATACAAATCATATTTTATGGCTTAAGGGTAGGAGGTGACCATAAATAGATATTTGGTTATAAAAATCAAAAGGTAGCTATGGAATATAATTTTTTAAAATGATATTTATTTAAAATAAATAAGGTATCAACCTTTGCTATAGGAGGTAAAAATTCCGTAATTAATTAAACAGGAAGACACTGGCACCTGATCCCCAAAAAATCAAAGTGTGTTTGGTGCGAAGGAAAATATTTTTCTTGGAAAATGAGTGATTTTATCACTTATTCTCCTTTGTTTGATTGGTGAGTGAAAAATATTTTCCGAAAAATATTTTCTAGTGTTTAGTTAGAGAATAGAAAATATTTTTTAGGAAAATAATTTATGCTACTCTCCTCACCCCTTCCCCCAAGTCCCATGTTTCCTGTTCTCTCCACCCTCCTCCCAAATACTCAACGTTTTCATGGTAGATGGGTGGGGGTTGAGTGGTTGGGGTGGGTAGGTGGGGTGTGGAGGTGGGGATAGGAAGTAGGGTGGGAATGTTGAAAAAGAGTTGCGGGAAAACAGTTTCCTCCAATTAGAAGAAAATGAGTTCATGAGAAAAATATTTTTCAAAAATATTTAAGCCAAACATAGAAAAATTGAAAAACATTTTCCTTCGTACCAAACACACCCTCAATGTAGAGGCATTTTCTGTTCAATTATGTAAACGTGAGAGATGTATAAGTGGGATACTAAAGGGATGTTCTCTAATCTCGTCTCAAACTTGAGGATAACTGTAGTCTTCCCCCCAACAATGCATGTAATACTAAGATGGTTTACTTGTTAACAATTCCTTTGGTTTATGGAAATAAAAGTTTGTCTTTACAAGAAAATTTCTTTTACATCACCATTGCAACGTATGTCTATTAGCTATTAAATGACTTTACAGTTTGTTGTATGCTTTGGACCTAAACTAAGTAGAAGAAAACTACACAAGGCTACATAACACAATTTTGAAGGAAAGGTAAATATATCAGCGTCGCCGCTGGGCAGTTGGTGGCAGTTTCTCAGAAGGGCCAGTTGGAAACTTTCGTCCAGTTTCTTGTTCAATTTTACTTTTCAGCTGTCTGAGTATTCGAATTTGACTAAGCTTTTCAGGAGAGAGCTTCTCCCAATATATCCCTGCATGATCATAAGAAAGGTTAGCCAACTGCAATCACTATAGAGCCACAGTGATCAGAGGAAGACCCAGAATTTGAGCACGACGGGGGCATCACTGTGTACTAATCACTAGCGATAAAATTCGGTGTACAACTTTTTGAAAACTTAATAAATTTATCATCCAAATATAAACAAAAAAAGAAGTTCTAAAGAAAAAGAAAATACGGAACAGAAAGAGATTTCTTCGCGAAATGGATGTTATGGGAAGGGAATAATTGAATTGACTATTATATGTTACTATGTTAGTACTAAACTACAATTGAATTAAGAAAAAGATTAATATAGGAAATAAAGCAATTTGCTATTAAGTACATAAATTATGTTGTATTCAAAGAACTAAAATAGAGAGGAGAAGAAAAAGCAAGAACTATAATAGAAACGGAGAAGAAAGAACTAAAATAGAAAGAAGACAAAAAAAGCAAGAACTAAATTAGAAAGAGGAGAAAAAGCTGAAAATGGGTATCGAACCCAAGTCGTTCAGCAGAGAAGGGAACTAGCGCGGCCAACACAACCATTTCTCCCGCAAGCCTTTCTGTGCTTCGGGGCACACGAAAAATATTTAAGGATTCCGCACATGTATGGACAAATATACATATACATATACATATACATATACATATACATATACATATACATATACATATACATATACATATACATATACATATACATATAAAATGTTTTTGCCGAGGCTGGGTCTCCTTGCAAGTTACTGACAAGGAGAAAGTGGAAAGCTCTAAATATGCGGTAAATAAAAACATTTAAAATAGCAAGAACCTGAAGGAAAATAAGAAGAAAAGCACGAATGAAGATACATGCATACAAACAAGAAGAGATTTCTGGCACTGATGATAGCAATTATACATACGGAGTACACTAACCTTGAGGCTTTGGGATGGATGTGTTTGTAAATATGACCTGAGTTGGGGTGCATATTATGTCAACCGGCACATCATGGATCAATAGCTTGTCAACAGGAATGTCATCTACCAGCTGTTCATCATGCACTGAGGAAGCCATCCAAAGAGAATGAACATCAGTTTAGCAAATGCAAGATTTGTTGAAACAACCAAAAGGGCAGCCCAGTGCACAGAACATGCCGTGTTCACGCAGGGTTCGGGGAAGGGCCGCACCCTAAAGGGGTGTGATGTAGGCAGCCTACCCTGATGCAAGTATCAATGGTTGATTCCACGGCTCGAACCCATGACCCATAAGCCACACGGAGACAATTTAACAGTTGCTCCAAGGCTCCCTTTCATTCGGTGAAACAACACTTTCATAATTTTGACAAGCAAGCAAATTTATTTCTCTCATCATCCACGATGATAGGGGGGAAATAAAAAGCTTGATTTGGATTAACTAATAAGCAACGTTTGCATTTTAAGAGTGCGAAAGGCTAAACTTTGATGAAGAAGGGAATCTTGAAAGGGATGTACCAGAAGTGACAACTGGTGTTGAGTCATCAATGGCACCCATGTACCTCAGCATGCCATATTCAAGTTCAGCAAATCCCTACACGCAATGAGACTCGGTATACTATAGTTACTTGTAAAACTTTCAGTTAACTCTTCTTAGATAATGGAATTGAGAGAAGATGATTTACAATAGTAATATGAGCCTTCCTGTGCATCTAATGGGTATATGAGATAGAAGCTAAAGACAGTAATATTCAATATTAATTATTCTATAGAAGGTAAAAGCAGAACTTTCAGCAGAGAAGTTAACATCAGACAATGTACTATGAGGAAAAAGTACCAGATCATACAAAAATTAGCTGCATCATATATGACGGGAACAGTCTATTCATGTTCTCTTACGATATGGCTAAGTGGAAGGGGTTTTCATTCCCTTCTTCTTAGTGCACATAACCCAATTCCCAGACCTAGCTTCTTGCAGTATGAAAAAGTAGACAGGTAAAAATTGATAGACATGCTGACCTCTCCTTTGCCAAGTCTTGCACCGGTCCTTGGGTCAACAGCAACCGAACCAATAACAATCAAATCCACCTTTATTTTCTCATCCAATCCAATTGGTCGTCCATATTTGGCAACTCCAGCAGAGGTGCAGGCCTCCNTCCTACTATCTCAAGAAAAAAGGTCTGCATTTCATTTCACGATCTTCTATAGTTCTATTTCGCCTATATTTTGGACAAAGCTGGAGAAGGGTCTATTTGTGTCCTGAGAATATTGTCTAAAAAATTTAACTAGATCAAACATACTGAATTTGATTACTCATATTCTGAGAAAGAGCTTTTTAATTAAAAAGGGGCAGCCCGGTGTATTAAGATCCGGCTATGCGCATGGGCCGGGAAGGTACGCAGCCTTACCTTGCATTTCTGCAAGAGGCTGTTTCCGTGTCTTGAATCCGTGACCTTATAAAATAATTTGTTTAAACACTACGTTGACTAACTTCTATCATAATCTTCAATTCAAACTGCATTTATCCAAAACCAGTGCTCATAACTCTACATTATCTGTCGTAAAACAGAACAATGCAAAAGTCTTGCTATGCTAATTTTTTCTTTTTCATTCTTCATTTATTGCAAAATATTCACGAATCAAAAGATAAATATTCAACCATCATCTCATTAGAAAAAAAGTAAAGAAACTTCAAACATTAAAAAAAGAAGATAAGTTCATGAAAGCCCACCATCAAGTGTGAGAAACCTGACTTGCTTTTGTGGTGTATCTGGATTTACCTTCACACACTTGGCCCCTTTAAACTCCTCCAATTCACTCAACTTACATTAAACAATAAAATATAAAATTAGCTAAACAACTCACTTAATTATTTTATTTAAAATCCCTTTTCAGTTTTCTTATCTTTGAACCTTATTCGCAGCAACTGAAGCTCCAAGAAAATTGGGTATCCGATGATGAACGGGCCTTGGGAATTGGGCTATATTTTGGGCTTCCATTAAGTCCCAAATCCGTTTTCGGATAACCCATTTCCAAGCTTTCGGGTCTTCTTGGTCTTGGGTCTCTCTTTCATAAGTTTCAGCCATGGCTTTACGCGCCTCGGCGTCGAGTCTGTGACGCTCCGCCTCGTATGCTGCGTCGTCAAAAATTGCGTCGTTTCTCTTTTGGGAATCCACTTTGAGTGAAAATTGGGGAATATCAGAAAAATTGAGAGAAATAGGGCAGTGGGATTTGGAGAGAATTCGGCTGTGTTTGGTTATGGAAGTGAAAGGAAATGCAGAGGAAATTCGGAGTACGTGTAATTCCATGAAAGGTAGTTCTTTCTTTCTCTTGAACTTCTTCAAAGATTATTCACTATTTGGATTTTTGGAACTGATTTTCCTTTTCCCCTTTTCTCATTTGTTTCCCTTTTTGGTCTTTTTCTTATAGCTTAAGGGGGTAATTTTTTTTCATAGGGCACCTGTTAGAGTATTTAAATTTGCCTCATCTATATAGTGCTTCACATTTACTTCTAAAAACATTTCTTACAAACACAACAAACAAATATAAACTCATTCGTATATAGTTTGGAATGAAGTATACTATACCATAGTCTAAAGGTTTTATGTTGAACAAGATTAAAAGAGCGTACATAGAAGCAAGTTCATTGACGCATTACATAAGGTAAATGTGGAAGTGAGGATTGATACACAAATCATCCCAAAAGAGGAAGCTTTAAGTATCCTGAGTCACTAATCCAAGAAAATAGAAAGATAGACAATGATGTCAGACATAGTACTGGAGCGGGTCGATGAAATGGAGGCTCGTATAGTATGTTACTCCCTCCGTTCCAGTTTATGTGAACCTATTTTTGTTTTGGTCCGTTCCAAAAAGAATGACCCCTTTCTGTATTTGAAAATAATTTAGTTTAAACTTCCAATCTACCCTTAATGAGAAGCTTTTATAACCACACAAATACTCTGGACTCTTTTTTTTTTGACTTGTTTAGGACCACAAATTCTAAAAGTCTTCATTTTTTCTTAAACTTCGTGTCAGTCAAATATATTCACATAAATTGGAACGGAGGGAGTATATGATAATAATGTGCCACCAAGACTTAAAGGTAAATTCTATAGAGTAGTTGTTAGAACAACTCTATTGTATAAGGCAGAGTGTTGGCCACTCAAGAATTCACGCGTTCAGAGATGAAAGTAGCGAATATAAGATGCTTATATGTGGGTGTATTAATAATAGGAGAGATAAGATTAGGAACGAAGATATACGAGACAAGGTGGGAGTGTCCTCTATGGTGGACAAGATGCGGGAAGCGAGACTAATATGGTTTGGGCATGTGAAGAGGAGGAGCACATATACTCCAATGAGGAGGTGCGAGATGTTGATGGTAATAGGTCTAAGGAGAAGTAGAGGTAGACCAAGGAAGAATTGGGAGAGGTAATTAGACATGCCATAACACATCTTCAGCCATTGAGGACATGACCCTAGATAGTAGAGCATAGAGGTCGAGGATTAAGGTAAAAGTTAGTAAGTAGTCGAGCGATTTTTCTCTTTTTTTTTGTGAAATAGCATGGTTCTAGTTTAGAGTATCTACTCCCTTTTTTCCTTATCAGTATTAATATTATTATTCTATTTTATTTTATTCTTTAATTTATTACTATTATTATTTTTTGATTTTGGGTATCTTTACTAATTTTACTGTCAATACTTTATTTCTAGTAGTTTTATATTATTTTTTTCTTCTGCATTTTTTAAACTTATTTTGAAAATCTTTTTCTTGAGCCGATGGTCTATCGGAAATAACTTCTCTACCTCACATAAGGTAGGGATAAAATCTGCATACACCTCACCTCTTCATACCTCACATTGGATATATTATTATTATTGTTGGAAGTACTACATTAGAGAAAATGAAGGATACATGATTTTAAATAAATACTACTCCATATAGAACAAGAAAAAAAGAACATGGCGTAGATCGCGCATGTTGTACATTTTTAATAAAATTTTCACAATATGTGATGAATTATACAAGCACTAAGAAGCTGTTCCAGCCTGCCTATGGGGTTGAGTGATAAAATCAGTTGAATTCACCAGTTAATCTAACATGCAATTGATCAGAAGAAGTAACCTAAGAGAAGAGATGGAAGGTGCAGAGAGGAGGTGAATAAGATGAATCTGGAAATTGTATTAACCGAGTGCAATACATGTGAGTGTGGTCCCTTTATAGACTTTACTCCTAACCACCTCTAGCTAACGTTGAACTTAATTATCATATCAGTCCCTCAACCTATTGCGTGTACAAGCTAGTCTATACACCAATACTTACCTTCAAGTTGTAGGATGAAACACATTGAGCACTCCAAGCTTGGATAAGAGGAAATGTTGTTGAGATGAACCCAGGCCCTTGGTCATCAGATCAACCAACTGCAAGGTGGTAGAAATGTATTATGGTGCCAACTGGCCATTCTTGATTTTTTCTCGAACAAAATGTCAATCTATCTCGATATGATTGGTTCTTTCATTGAAGATGGAATTGGTAGCTATTTGCAGGGAAACCTTGCTGTCACAGTGTAAAGGTACTGGCACATGAACTTGTAGCTCCTATAGAAACCCAAAAACCATGTGATTTCTGCAGGAGCTGCTACTAGACTTCTGTACTCAACTTTTGCTGAGCTTCGACTAACAGTTTGTTGCTTATTGGATTTTCATGAGAGAAAGGAATCACCTAGTTTAATGATGTATCCTGTGACTGACCTCCTGGTATTTTTACAGGAGGCCCAGTCTGAGTCACAATAAGCAGACAATGTGTCTAGAGGGCATGTGCTCAACAAAATTCCAAGGCCCGGAGTTGTGTTTACATACCTTACTACTCACAATGTTGCATCTTGATGAGATTGTTTGGGATGCTACATGAACTAACTAAGTACCTAGACTGCAAAACTAAGGTTTGGTCTGGTGATGGTCAAGTAAAGCAGCTTCCCGATGAGTCTTTGATAGCTCCCAATTTCCTCCAATTCTTCATCTCCATTGACCCCCACATGCTTGTCATAGTCGACAGTAGTCAACTTCTGGTTTAAGTCAATAGGAGTGGAGATTGATTTAGCTGCTGCAAGTCTAACTTCTGATATCAATTGGAGAGAATATTGCCTCTGTGTGAGTGGTATCCCTTCCTTTGATCTCAGAACTTCAATGCCAAGGAAATATCTTAGTTCTCCTAAATCTTTTACCTTAAAGAAATTTTGAAGGGTCTGTTTGACTTCTTCTATCAGTTCTGCATTGCTCCCAGTGATGAGCAAGTCATCCGCAAACGCTAGGATAAGGACAATGTGAGAATTTGTCTTCTTAGTAAAGAGGGAGTTGTCATGAGCACTCTGATTGTAACCTGCCTCCAACAAAACCTCAGTCAATTTAATATTCTATTGCCTTGAGGCCTGCTTGAGGCAATATAGTGATTTAAGAAGTTTACGGACCTTGTGCTCCCCTTGTTTCCAAAAACCTTGAGGCAAATCCATATAAACCTCCCCATAAAGATCTCCTTGCAGAAATGTATTATTTACATCCATTTGAAATAGATTCCATCCTCTAGAAGTTGCCATGCTAATGATTGTCCTTACAATAACCATTTTTGCCACTGTTGAGAAGGTATTATGATAGTCCAAACTTTCCTGTTGAGTGTAACCTTTTGCCACTACTCTAGCCTTGTACCTCTCTATTTTCCCATTTTCTTTATATTTTATCTTAAACACCTATTTAGATCATATTGCCAACATGCAGATCAACAACTTCCCATGTGGCATTGTCTTAGAGTGCATTAATCTCTTGTGATATTGCCTCAACCCAATTCTTTTCCTGACAGGCTTCCTTGGAGGGCTTTGGTTCAATCGCGCTGCTGAAAACACTCCCAAATAGGCTTTGTAGTTCTCTGACAAATGAGTGTAAGAGACAAAATTCGAAATGCAATAGGGGCTATTCTGGGAGCTGGATGCTATAACATAGTCCTTAGCCAAATAGAAGGTCTTGAAACTCTACTAATGTAACGACCCGACTAGTCATTTTGAACTTTAGCTTTCCATTCGGTGGTTTGAGCCTTTGAGTAGCTTCATATTATGTATTATCACTTATGTGTATAGTTGGTCTCGATTTTTGAGCGGTTCGAGATTTATTTGGAAGAATGGTTCTCATTTTTTAAGCTTTAAGTTGGAAGTGTTGACCAAGGTTTGAGTTTTGGATAAACAAACTCGGAATCATGTTTAAATTATTCCAGTAAGTTTGTAAGATGATTTTGGACATATCCACAAAGTTTGGTTAAATTTCGATGAGTATTGGATAAGTTTGGGTTGTATGGTGATTGTTTTTTATTTCGACATCGATTTAAGCATAAAAGTTACCATATTGAGCTAACAACCTTTGATTTGTGTTCGACTATTCGATTGTATCTGTATCGTAATTTTAGAACCATAGCAACTGAAATCATCAAGTTTCAACATCGTATGAGGAATTTATGGCCATTTTACTAAGAATTGGGTTGCCAGATTTTTCAAATTAATTATGAAATTCCACTGAATTCGTATTAAAGAAAATCTACACTTCTTTCAAATATTGAAACCAACATATCTCCTTCATTATAAAGTCAAATGGAGTGATTCAAAAGCCTAACTTGATCGAAATTTTACGAGGAAACCATTGGAGGTAACAAAAGTGAGCTTCAGGATTGTTTGGAACAAGAAACGAGGCAGAACCATTGGACATTTTTGGCTATTAACGTTGTTGGAGTTTTTCCCATCTTCAAAGTTTGGGATTGGGAGAATTCAAGGATGTTCTTCAAGTTTCTTCCCTGGGGGTAGGTTCTAAACAATAACCTAAGCATTTCCTTTTGATTCATACACTTGGTTTAAGCTTTAATCCATGATTTTAATTGGAAACATATTTAATTCTTTAAATCAAGACCTAGGGTTATGTCCTAAATTTTCAAGATTAAAAAAGGGTTGGAGGAATTTATTTCTCGATTTCTTTTGGAGTTTTGTTCTCCTAATATAGGAGAACAACATACTCGAATTTGGCAAGTTTTAGAGGAGAATTTCGGGAGTTATGAGACTCAACTAGTGTGGGTTGGACTCTTGGGTTATAAACACCCAAGACCGATATTTTGGCGAATTGGTTAAGCTATCAGACTCCGATTGAGTTAGTTTTCATTCGTGTGAGCTTGTATTGGTTTGATCTTCGCTTGGGTAAGCTTGGACTCGGAATCAAAGGCGAACCCGACATTGACTTTTGTTGACTTTGGGATTTTGATTAAAGATTCGACCTTTATCGATTGGGCTCGTTTCCTTTGTCATTAGTTGATCTTCTTGAGTTGCTTTTGGCTAGTTTTGAGTCTTTCGGAGGATGGTACACGAGAGATGATGTTTCTAAAGTATTGTTTGGCATGCTCGGTATTGGATTCGGCTTGTTCAAGGTAAGTAACACTTCTAAACTTGCTGCTGAGGGTATGAATCCCTGAACATACGTGTTATGTGTTCGGTGTTGAGATGACGCACATGCTAGGTGATAGGCGTGTGGGCGTGCATCCGTGTGAATTATGACTCGGTTGATTCTGTGATACTGTGTAGTTACCAAATCTTGTTTCTATCCATGAAATTTCTACGTGTTAGAGAAATTGAGTCGTGAATCATGTTAGAAATCATGTTTAGACTATATGCTTATTCTGTTGGGACCCACAAAGGTCATCTCTGCTATTGAGTTATTTGCTTAAATTGTAGTTACATACTTAGTCATAGTCATTCATTCGCATATCATATCTCAATCTTTGTTATCCTTTGTTGTCACATCATGTCATCATTATTTAGGCTGATTGGCATGAGATTTGTGAGCCCAAGAGGCTGGAGAGATTGATGACTGAGTTGGGGCCTGAGGGCCAGATTGTGAGTGATATTTATGGGATTGGGCTACACGTCGCAACAACTTTTATTGATTCATTACGGGATCAAGCAGCACGCCGTAGTAGGTTTTGTTGATCCATGATGGGATCGGGTTGCACACAACAGCAGGCCATATTGGATTATATTAGGGCTTGGGCAAGATTCGCCCCTCTGGAGTCTGACATACCGTCAACGAGCATAGACACTGAGTGCCGAGTGCCGAGTGATTGAGTGTGAGACAATGATATTGGGTACTCTGGGATTGTGAATACATGAGTTCATCACTGTGATGCATTATATTTGACATGCATACTTGGCATGTAGGCATAGAGATGCATTTCCTCATGCTAAACGATATTGTGACATTCATGGCTTCACATGCACATTGACATGTAGGCATAAAGTGTACTTTCCTCATGCTATCTGATAATGAAACATCTTATCTATTATTGAATGTGTTTGGAAAAAATCACAGTTTTCTGATATAATCATATTTTGGTGATTTTAGTAAAAGATTTGTGTTTTAGTATTATACCTGAAAAACATGCCTATTTTTTCGTAACTGTGAACAAGCTGAGCATCATATCTTTGAGTTATTACTTGTGCTGCTTTTATTATATTGTTACAAGTTGTTCTTGGCTATTTATATTGGACTCTGACCGTGGTCCAAGCTCTTCATTGCTTTCAACCTAAGGTTATGTCTGTTACTTATTGAATACATATGCTCAGTTGTACTCATACTAGATTTTGGAGCTGATATTGCTGTGTATGGTAGGAGCTGGCATTGAAGATGTACCTGCACTATGGTTATAATTGCCTCTTGTTCTTGGTAGCTTTAGATTTATAAATTTGTTTATGTATATTTCGAACAGATGATGTATTTATTTCATACCAGCTTTGTAAACTCTAAATCTTAGAAGCTCATGATTTGTACTACCAGTTCTTGGTTGTTGTATAAAAGTTTAGTTATTTCATTATTATTTTCTCAATAAATCTCATTTGAAATTGGAATATTATTAAGTTGGCCTACCTAGCGGGTTGGGTTAGGTGCCATCAAGACTATTTGGATTTTGGATCGTGACAAGTTGGTATCAGAGCTCTAGGTTCATAGGTTATGCGAGTCATGAGCAAATATCTAGTAGAGTCTTACGGATCGATATGATGACATCCATACCTATCTTCGAGAGGCTATAGGGTATTTAGGATAAACTTCTCATCGTTATTTCCTTATCGTGTGTCATTGATTTAGCTTGAAGCATATCTCTTTGAATTCCTTCTACTCACTCGTATGCGCATGTGAGCGCTCGATATCAGCTGTACATCGACAACTTGTGGATTCCATGGATGGGGTACGAGATATGTTTTTTTGTGTTTTGGTGATGGGTCAGTCTACAGGACTTGAGGTCCGGTTTGGATCGTAGCTTAGGCATGGTAGTTTCACTTGTATGAGCATGTGCTTTTGGACTTCTATGTCCAGTAGTGTCCCTATGAGTGGGACTGGTGGCTCGGTGAATGGTTGGATGGGTATATGATGAGTAGTATGTGACTGCGGGATGTGTTCAGATGGTTTGAATGTAAGGGGAAGAGTTTGCTTGAGATGTGAAAAGGACTATTTGATGCTCGATTTTTGTGGATGTGTCATACAGTCTTGAGTTATGAAGGTTTTTGAGAGATTCTTTCGTGTTATTTTATTTTGTGGAACGAAGTAGATTTCATGTCTTGTTGATGAGTTCAGACTCAAGAAGATTAAGTGACTGCGTAGTAGTTGTGGCTGTAAAAGGTATAAAGAGATGTCAGTTTGAGGCTAAGCATGTGGATTATCACCTACAGGGTAATCTACAGATGTGTGATCCCTATGATTTTGTGTGGAGGCTTTCTTTTCTACCAGTGGGTATAGGTGTTGCATTTTGAGTTTGGATTGATTGAGAAGTTGACCTGACCGCCAAGAGGATGAATGCGAGCTTAGAGATGATTTGAGGTATTATATGATTTGTGTTACATGAGCTTATGAAGGGTTTAGTTGAATCTCACTGCGGTATTATGGCAGTAATAAAGTATGGGCATTGTAAGTTATCGATTGTTTTTATCTGTGGCTTTGAGCCAAGTGGAAGAGTTTGCTACCAACGATTTGATTGCATAGTTACGTGTTGTACTGGTTTCGGTCTGAGGCATACTTGTGGATCGGTTATGACTTTAAGAGGCTGGTTTTGAGGATGACTTAAGTAAGGAAATTTCTGGATGCATAGCGTATTACACTTTATGGGTATATGGGAATAATGGAATGATTGAGTTGTTATTCACATGGAGTAGGAATTTGCTCGGTTACGTTAAGGCGGGGTTACTTCTTTGGGTAATTTTGTGCTAATGGGGCACAAGTCGTTCATCCCGTTTAGGCGGTGCAATATTTGAGCAGAGTGGATGACTCCCGAGAAGGTTCTAATGAATTCAAGATTTATATGTAGCAATTTATAATTTTTCGGATTTGTTTATGGCTAGAATCTAAGATTTACATTGGATGGTGTCTAGACTCGCGATATTTCCATATCATTATGGATTCTACATTTTAGTATCAAGAAGGTGGAAAAAACGTATTTAGATTCACAGAAAGTCTCTTCAGAGTGGTGTCTACGTTGTGGTACTTTTGGGGTGATTAAGAGGGAAACATCAGCTTATGGGCCTTAGGGAGGTGTGATTTTATGCTATGA